GACTCTCCTGGAGGACCTCTTGGAGGCCTCTTGGGCCGTCTGGGAGGCCTCTGGGGGGCCTCTTGGGCCGTCTTGGGCCGTCTTGGACTCTCTTGGGCCGTTTTGGAGGCCGTCTTGGACCATCTCGGGCGGACTTGGAGGCCATCTTGGGCCATCTTCGCGACTTTTTGAGGATGTCCCGAGCGAAACGGCCGTTTTTGGGCATTGACAGACGGATTTTCGGAAACTTGCGGGTGGCCGGCGGGACGGGCCGAAGCCCACTTGGGAGTTCTTTTAGAAAAAGAACCAAAACCAAAACCTGACTCGTCCAGCACGCCGTGCACCCATGCAAGCAGGGGGCGGCGGACTCCCCAGTGGGCTTCGGCCCGTCCCGCCGGCCACCCGCAAGTTTCCGAAAATCCGTCTGTCAATGCCCCAAAACGGCCGTTTCGCTCGGGACATCCTCAAAAAATCGCGAAGATGGCCCAAGATGGCCTCCAAGTCCGCCCGAGATGGTCCAAGACGGCCTCCAAAACGGCCCAAGAGAGTCCAAGACGGCCCAAGACGGCCCAAGAGGCCCCCCAGAGGCCTCCCAGACGGCCCAAGAGGCCTCCAAGAGGTCCTCCAGGAGAGTCCGAAGAGGCCAAAATCATTGATTTTCCATTGGTTTTTGAAGGATTTTGGCATTTGCGCCTTTTCGGCTCTCCGACGGCTCAAGACGGCCCAAGAAGCCCCCAAGATCGCCCAAGAGGCCCCCAAGAGAGCCCCATGATGGCCCAAGTGGCCTCCAAGATGGCCCCTAGAGGGCCCCAAGAGGGCCCAAGAGGCCTCCAACACGCCCAAGATGGCCTCCCAGACGCCCAAGATGGCCTCCAAGACGGCCCTGGAGCATTCCAAGCGGGCCCCAAGTCGGCCCATAGAGGCCCCCAAAACGGCTTCCGACGGCTTCAGACGTGCCAGGAACCCACCAAGATGGCCGAAGTTGGCTCGAAGCTGGCCCGAGACGGCCCAAAAAGCCCCAAAGATCGCCCAAAGCTTGCCCAAGAGGCCTCCAAGACGGCCAAGATGACCTTCAAGATGCCCACGTGTTCCCCGAAGGCTTTCCAAACCGATTCGGGGAACACGTGGTCCGATAGCTTGGCAGGTCTGGCCTCAACGTTCGGCCACATAGGCGCTTCCAAAAAGGCAGGGGGCGGCGGTGATTCGCCGTAGGCGTCTTCGATTCTTTTAGAAAAAGAACCAAAACCAAAACCTGAAACATCCAGCACGCCGTGCACCCCTGTGGCAAGACCACAGGGGGCGGCGGATCGAAGACGCCTACGGCGAATCACCGCCGCCCCCTGCCTTTTTGGAAGCGCCTATGTGGCCGAACGTTGAGGCCAGACCTGCCAAGCTATCGGACCACGTGTTCCCCGAATCGGTTTGGAAAGCCTTCGGGGAACACGTGGGCATCTTGAAGGTCATCTTGGCCGTCTTGGAGGCCTCTTGGGCAAGCTTTGGGCGATCTTTGGGGCTTTTTGGGCCGTCTCGGGCCAGCTTCGAGCCAACTTCGGCCATCTTGGTGGGTTCCTGGCACGTCTGAAGCCGTCGGAAGCCGTTTGGGGGGCCTCTATGGGCCGACTTGGGGCCCGCTTGGAATGCTCCAGGGCCGTCTTGGAGGCCATCTTGGGCGTCTTGGAGGCCATCTTGGGCGTGTTGGAGGCCTCTTGGGCCCTCTTGGGGCCCTCTAGGGGCCATCTTGGAGGCCACTTGGGCCATCATGGGGCTCTCTTGGGGGCCTCTTGGGCGATCGTGGGGGCTTCTTGGGCCGTCTTGAGCCGTCGGAGAGCCGAAAAGGCGCAAATGCCAAAATCCTTCAAAAACCAAGGGAAAATCAATGATTTTGGCCTCTTCGGACTCTCCTGGAGGACCTCTTGGAGGCCTCTTGGGCCGTCTGGGAGGCCTCTGGGGGGCCTCTTGGGCCGTCTTGGGCCATCTTGGACTCTCTTGGGCCGTTTTGGCGGCCGTCTTGGACCATCTCGGGCGGACTTGGAGGCCGTCTTGGGCCATCTTCGCGATTTTTTTAGGATGTTCCGAGCGAAACTGCTTTTTGGAGCCGTCTTGGGCCGTCTTGGAGGCCATCTTGGGCCAAGTTGGGGCAACAAAGGCATTGACAGACGGATTTTGGGAAATTCGCGGGTGGCCGGCGGGACGGGCCGAAGCCCACTGGGGAGTTCTTTTAGAAAAAGAACCAAAACCAAAACCTGAAACATCCAGCACGCCGTGCACCCCTGCAAGCAGGGGGCGGCGGATCGAAGACGCCTACGGCGAATCACCGCCGCCCCCTGCCTTTTTGGAAGCGCCTATGTGGCCGAACGTTGAGGCCAGACCTGCCAAGCTATCGGACCACGTGTTCCCCGAATCGGTTTGGAAAGCCTTCGGGGAACACGTGGGCATCTTGAAGGTCATCTTGGCCGTCTTGGAGGCCTCTTGGGCAAGCTTTGGGCGATCTTTGGGGCTTTTTGGGCCGTCTCGGGCCAGC